TGTGTGAGTGTGTCTGTCTGTACATATGTATGCATGCCATGGTGTGTGTGTGTGTGTGTGTGTGTGTGTGTGTGTGTGTGTAGGTCAGGGAACAGCTTGCAGGAGTCTATTCTCTCTCTTTATCACGTGGGTCCCAGGAATTGAATTCATGTCATCTGGCTTGGTGACCAAGTGCCTTTACCTTCTGAGCCATCTTGCTGGCCCTTCCAGGTTTTCCTCTACCCATGCACGTAAAGGCGCAGCTGAACTGTATTTACGTTTTTGAGCGCTAACCATTTGAATCATTATTTCCTGCCTCACCTGCCGCCCTGCTCGGGACAGGACACAGATGTTCCCACCACCCCGCAGTATGGCCCCGCAGGCACCTTCCTTGCTGTAGACCTTTTCATCATTACAGTCCTCCGTGGGCAGCCAGGGCGTGTCTCGGTCACAGTTTACCAGCAGAATGGCCCCCTGGCCGTCAGGACCCCAGGTCCAGGACGCCTGCAACAGCAGGGACTCAGGTCAGTGCCTTCCCTGGTTCAATCCAAGGGCACTTTTCTGAGGGACAGCCATGGTTAGGAGTAGTTCCTGTCCACTGGGACAGCAGCTGGAACCTGGAAGGCTCGAAGGGCCCAGGAAGGACCCATATGATCACCCAAGTTCAAGAGCAGAGAGACAGGAAGGCTGGATAGGGCATGTGGGCCTCAGCCCTGGTATGAGGTGACCATGCCTGGCAGAGATGGTGGCAGGAACTGGCATTCTAGGACAGGCTTGAGGTGACTGATTCCAGACACGCTCTGAGTGCTCCCAAGGGGGCCGCCACCTTGCCCTGCTATCTGTCCTGCAGCCACAGGGCCCAGAGAAGACTCCAGCTGGATCACACCGCTTCCCTGTTTGAAGCCCTCGCTGTCAACTCAGATAAAGCCTGGATTCTCTGGTCTTCCAGAGGCTGGTGAGACGCATGGCCTTTGCGTCTGGTCTCTTCATCCACTCTGCCCCAGCCACACGAATGTCCTCTGCACTCTAGGAGTTCCCAGATCTTTGCCATGCTGGTCCCTCTTCCCCAACCATCTCCACCACTCTTCCTAGACTCAGTGCACCTGACCCACCTTGCAGGAGCCTTTCTGATCTCCAGGGCAGCTGCCCTGCTCTGTACATGGTCCTTTCTTTCTATGTTCTCCCGGGAGCACTGAGGTCATAGGATGGTGACCTACAGCATTATTCCTTGAACTTTTGTCTCTCTAGGTTTTGCTGTTCCCTGGGCCTGACTTGGTACTAGAATATACAAGATAAATTTCTTGTATAAATTTCTGTGAGACAGAGTCTCACAGAACTCAGGCCAGCCTCTGATTCACCACATAGCAAGGATGGCCTTGAACCCCTGACCCTTCTGCCTCTACCTCCTGAGTGCTGGGATCCTGATACGTACCACCCCTACTAGAGAACATGAAAGGGTATTTGTAGGGTGGGCAAAGACATTGTGGCAAGTTCACTGGCCCAGGTATGGAAATTCTCACTAATTCAGGTTTACAGGGACTGGATGACTTTGCCGTGATTGCACTGGGAATGATGCCGGGGATCAGACCCAGCGTTTCCTGCACTCAAGGCAAGCACTCTTAGCAACTGAGCTACATTCTCGGTCTCCTGAGGATTGTGTGCAGGATTGGCAAGACCTACAATCTGTTTTTAAGAGCTCTCTCTAGAAAGCGCTTTACTTTTTAAAAGACAGGCTGTGTTCATGTTGGCTATGAACTCTCGTCCCTCTTGGCTCTGCCCCCTGAACGGTGAGATGACAGGTGTACGCCACCTCTCCCAGCCTCCTTTAACTTTATTCATACAGGGTCTCACCAAATAGCCTTGGCTGGCCTAGAACTCTCTACATAGACCAGGCCCGCCTCTGCCTCCTCAGTGCTGGGATTAAGGGTGTGTGCTACCACAACTCCCTGACCCTCTAATTTTAAGAGAAGAGGCCTAAGAGGAACAAATGCCTTTCCTGGGCAGCCTCTGTCTCAGATGCATTGATTCTTCAGACCGCTCTGTGACCCGTGCCGGGGAAGCTGATCCTACAGCGAGCCTGGCTTGTCTGGGCTCCCTCCCTGTTGTGCGGCATCTGCATCCAGCTTTGACCCTCAGCCTCCCGCCTTGTGAGATGGTAGCTGACCGCTCTGGTACACAGCTCTGCCTGAATGCACCGTGCAGTTCTTGCAATGCCCTGGAGGTCCTCCCATGTCAGAGTTAGGACAGCTGTACCCCAGGAGGCCACTAACCTTCTTAGGGTTGTTCTTCTCCACCTCGCCATCCCGGTCTGCATCCACATCCAGCGAGATCTCTGCAGGCAAGAGACCAGTGTGAGCTGAAGAGCCAGTCAGATAGTGAGAGGTTGGAGGAGCCCAGTGGAAAATGTGGCAGTCCCCCCACCCCCCACCGTTCACTTGGCTGCTGGGAGAGGGCCTTGCTGAGGTCATCATCTCCTGCTTACATGCTACCGCCTCCAGGGAATCTCAGCAAACACATAAAACTTTGGTAGGGGTGGTACGCTAATCCTCACTGTACATATGTGAGAGACTCAGGTCACATGCTCGAGGTCACAAGTGTATTAATAGAGTTAGGGGGGTTACAGTGTTTCGAGTTCCTTCTTCAGGTCTTTCTCGGGAGCATCTGCACACACATATGCCCGCCTGTCTGTCTGTCTGTCTGTCTGTCTGTCTGTCTGTGTTTCTGTCTCTGGCTTTCTCTCTTTTCCCTCTCCCCTCATTTTGTTTTTGTTGTTGAGAAGAAGTCATGTCTTTAGCTCCCGTCCACCTAAGGGAGCCTGTGATGCCAGCTTCAGATAGGCCAACCAGGGGAGGGTCCCTGCAGACCCTTTCTCTTGGGGGAACCTTCGGCATTCCAGAAGTTCTCATGGGAAGGCTCTGTGGAGCCTGTGGGGCAGAGAGAAGGTTCAATATGAGATGGTCTTAGGTTGGTGCCGTGGAACAAGCCTTCTGTGCACTGTGAATACGCATTACTCTCATTGGTTAATAAAAGAGCGGATTAGCCCATAGCAAGGCAGGATAAAGTTAGGTGGGACAATCAAACTGAGGACATGGGGATGAAGAAGGGTGGAGTCGGGGAGATGCCAGCCAGCTGCTGAGGAAGCAGGATGCATAGAAAATGAGGTAATAAGCCATGAGCCACGTGTAGAAGCATAGATAAGAAATGTGGGTTAATTTAAGCGTAAGAGCTAGCTAGTAACAAGGCTAAGCTACCGGCCAAGCATTTCTAAATAATATTAAGCCTCTGTGTCGGTTATTTGAGAGCAGGCGGTCAGGACAGGAAAACTCCTACAGGTCGGAACTCTGGTTCTCCAGTTATGAGCTGTGGGACTCTGGGCAGGTTCCACAGCTTCTCCCAGCTCCTATCCCCTCACCTCCAGCATGGCGTTCTGGTTTAGCAATTGTGCCAACGGAAACAGCTGGCACTTTCTGAGTCATACGAATCCATGTGTGGGACTGTTCTGGGTGGGTATTTAGTGGCATCCTGGCTACCACCTGCAAGATGCCAGTAACATTTTCTCACGTCTCCAGTTGTGGTCTAACAGCCTGGGGAGGTAAAACCTCCCCAAGTTAGCAGATGGAGGGAGGAGGGTGAGGTGTGGCTGGGGAGGCATGGGAGGACACCCAGCATGAGATGTGATGCTTCCAGGCCTTGAGCTGCCCCAGTGAGCTTGTCTCATGACAACTATGACTTCAACTATGGCGGAAGCCATGTGGGAAAGAAGGCACCCAGTCAGTACTTTGGCGGGCACACCTTCTTTGGGTGGAAGGAGGATCCTGTCACAGGGAGGGTGCTGATGGTACCCATCCCTGGTTGCATCAGCCCAGCAGGCTCCAGAGTCATATTCAGGGCTTCTTTTGTCCACAGGTCTAGTCCCACTGGCCAAACTGTGGCTTTTGTGGGTACAGAAGGAAGTGGGAAGACCATGAGGTCTGGGAAGAGGCACTTTCCGGTGTCCCATCCTCCTGGACCTTCCATTAGCCCTGCGCTACAAGGCATCCCGCTGATGTTGGCTATGCAAGGCGCCCCATTGGAGTACCTGCTGTAACTCGGCCCTGAGCGAGTGATACACAGTAGACCTCTCTGGGAGCCTGTGGCCCCGGAGAGAAATACAATCACACCCATTTCAGAAAGGAACAAATTCAGGCTTTGAAGAGCCACTCAGCAGTCAGCAACGTGGCTCATGAGTGAGGCTGGAGCTGGCAGATGATCCCGGAGTAGAAGGGAGGCCCTCTAACCACAGTGAGAGGCCGAGGTGCTGGGACAATGTTGATTTTGGCTCCCAACTTCACCAACTTTCCAGGCTGCCACGCCCCACTCCATGAACACAGCACTCTGCCAACTGCTGACGCTCTCCAGGGCTATTCACCCTCTGAGAACTCCAGGAAAGAGACCCACATTGCCACCCAAAAAAGGAGTCTGAGGCCACCCAGCAGGGAGGTGACACCGCACACACCCACGTTCTTAGAGTGCGGGGTGGTCCTCTGACTCGAGACACGTGCTCTGTGTTACTCCCCTCACTGATCCAGTTGACCCTTGGCTGACCCAGGTTGACATCATACCTGGACAGTGTCCAAAAGCCAATCTCATCTTTAAAGTCCCAACATGGGCTCCCCTGAAGGTCACTAGCCACATCCTCACATTGGAGCCCCGTGGCTTCATTTCTAGGCCACAAGGGAACATTGAAGTTCCTTATGGTGGGTGTCCTGTGTCTCCCATGCAGCGCATCATGGGAGATGATGAGGCACTTCAGGCCATACTGAAGGAAGGCTCTCCCTCTCTAACTTCCTCCCTCCCTCCCTTCCTCACTCTCTCCCTTCCTCCCTCTATCCCTCTTTCATTTTACTTGTTTTTGTGCCCTGGGTGGCCTGAAACTCACTATGTAGACCAGGCTGGACTCAAGCTCAGCCCCACTTGCCTGTTTCTCTGGTTTCCTAGAGCAGCAATTGAAGGTGTGCACCACCACGCCCACCTCCTTTTTCTTTTTCTAAGTTTAAAGTTATGTGTACGGCTGTTCTGCCTAAATGTATGTCTGTGCCTGGTGCCTGGGAAGGCCACAAGGCATTGGATCTCCTGGATCTGGAGTTACAGATGGTTGTGGGCCATCATGTGTGTGCTGGGAATCAAACCAGGATCCTCTGAAAGAACAGTCAGTGCTCTAAACTGCTGAGCCATCTTCCCAGCCTCTATTTCCCTTTCTGATAGGGTCTGACTATGTTGCCCAGACCCTCCATCCTCCTGTCTCAGTACTTCTGAGTACTGGGATTGCAGATGTGTCCCATTAAGCCTGTCTGAATCATTTTAAATTAAAACGCGCACACGCACACACACACACCCCAACATGCTCTCCCCCCCACCCCCAGAAGCCAGAGGACAACTTTCAGGAGTTTGGAGCCTCTCCTAACAGGTGGGTCCCAAGGACCAGAGTTAGGTTATCGCTTGGTGGTAAGCGCCCTTGCCTGCTGAGCCACCTTTTCAGCCCCTTGAGCCCTAGACTCATAAGCGCTGGGCAGGTCCTGCACACACCTCCCTGGCAGTGAGCACACCGCCCCCGCAATTCTGTCCCCAGCATTAAGATCTTTATCAGAGTGGTGCTTAACTTGGCACAAAGAGATAAATCAGTCATGAATCCTTTAGGGCAGCAGCAATCCCCTCCCTACACTCTCCTCACCCCCCTAAGGTCACACCAGGCTTCTTGCTGCTTCCTGATTTCTCTCTCTCTCTCTCTCTCTCTCTCTCCCTTCCTTCCTTCCTCCCTCCCTCCTTCCTTTTTTTTTCTTTCTCTGAGACAGGGTCTCACTATGTAGCCCTGACTGTCCTGGAACTCACTCTGTAGACCAGGCTACCTTCAAATTCACGAAGATCCACCTGCCTCTGCCTCCTGAGTGCTGGGATTAAAGGTGTGTGCCACCACACCCAGCCTGTCTCCTGATTTATTACTCTCTGAAGGCTCTGCCACCTTCCCATTATGAAATTTGTGCTTTCGCGGTCTCGCTCTTGGCCACATCCTCTCCACCTTCCACAGGACTTCTCAGTTCTCTCAGGACCTTACTGACCCCACAGTCCACTGACTTCTCCGCTGCCCTCCAGCCTCCCCTGGACCTGCTCCCTGGCTGTGATGGGGTGCTGTCCTCAGGCCAAAAAGGAGAGGCTGGAGCAGCCCTTCTGCCCTCCCCAGGGGGAGGGGAACACACCTGTTTCACAGCCTCTGAACTCCAGACATTTCCCAGAGGCTCTGGGTCCTGCCTCAGCTACCCAGAATAGCCCCAAGGTGTCAGGTGGCACCCCGGTGCCAGTGCCGGGGTGTGGGGCAGATTCATGGGAAATGTCACTAGGATTGAGTTTGAAGCCTTTGCCATGGGAACCTAGACACAGAGGCTGTGGCTGCATTTTGGCTGGCTGACAGCCCTGTGGACTGTGGCTGTGTTGGCCTGGCCTTCTGCTGACTTGTTCCAGGAGCTTGGGATGCAGTGTGAAGAAGGGCTTTGGGGGCAGGCAGAGGAAGGAGAACCTGCCATGGATGCTGAGGGCTCCAGAGCTGGGCCTGTGGAGGAGCTCAGGGTACATGGAGAATTTACCCATGGTCCTGAGGGGAGAAAAGTGCTGAGGCCCCTGGGCTAGGACCTCAGCAGGAGAGATGACTGTCCCCTCCCACTTTTCTATCCCCATCTTTGTTTTCCTCTGAAAAGTCCTAACTGGAGTTTTAAAAGTTCTTAGAGATTAACCCAAATCCTCATTCTATAGCCGGGGGGGAAAAAGTAGAGCCCAGAGAAGGTGATCTACTTGTCAAGGCCACACAGCAGGGTCAGACAGATCTAGGGTCTGATTTGGCCAGAGGCTCCTTAGGTTTGTTCCCATGGTGCAGGATGAAGTCCCTCCAGGCAGAGAGTAAGAGAAAGGGGAAGGGAGCCTCCACTTAGCACCTGCTGTGCCTTGGCACAGGCCCTTTGCACATGCCACTCCCCTGACTCCCTGGAGGCACCATGCTAGAAAAGGCCCCTTTTGCAGATGGAGAAACTGAGCCCGAGGGTGATGGAGCTGGTGTAAGATCACCATGAGGTGGACAGAGGAGGCAAAGCCACAGCCTCTTCCTGCCTGTTCTGAGGCTCTTGCTGTTCACTGTGGCCTTGGGACAGTCTGAGTGAGGTACAGTCAGAACTGCTTCCGTGGGGTCAGGTCTAGGGGTGTTCGGGGTGTTTTCCCCTCTTAGGTGATACTTCTCATCACTCATAGTGGAGATGCTGAGGGAGGAGAAGGTCAGGTGGGACATGGACCACGAGTGGGCCATGGGAGGACCACGGGTTGGCCACTGGTTCCTGCTAGCGGAACGGTGGGACTTCATAGTGCCTGGTTTTTGCAATGTGAATGGCTGCCTTTTATTCTGAAGGATACCCTGTCTGGGGGCTCTGCCACAGAGCTTTAGCCCAAACCCTCTTCCTTTTCCTTTAGTTTGAAGACAGGGTCATCTAGGCAAGTCCAGCCGTCTAGGCTGGCCTTGAACTCTCTTCTCAGCCCAGACAGTCTCCTGCCTTAGCCTCAGAGCAGCAGGGATTACAGGCACATGTCACCAGGCCCTACTTCCCTTTCTGCTTGGTTTGTTTGTGCTTTTCAAGACAGGGTTTCTCTGTGTAACAGCCTTGGCTGTCCTGGACCTCTCTCTGTCCCAGGCTAGCCTTGAACTCACAGACATCCGCCTGCGTCTGCCTCCCTAGTGCTGGGATTAAATGTATGTGCCACCACCACCTAGCCTCCCTTTCTGCTTTTTAAATGTAATTCATTTCTATACATCTTTTTGAGATAGGGTCTTATGAAGTCCAGGCTGGCTTCAAATTTGCTACTTAACCGAGGCTGGCCCTGAAACCCTGATCCTTCTGCACCTGCCGTGTGTGCTGCCACACCCAGCCCTTCCTGCTTGCCATGTCTGGAGGTGCGGTGTGGGGAGGCTAGGGGACAACTCTGGGGTGCTGGTCCTCTCTCCCACTGTGGTGCTAGGGATCACACTCAGGTTGTCAAGGTTACCCGCTGAGCCATCTTGCTCGCCTGCTGCCTGCTTTTAATGTCAAGGTGGATGGTGACAGCTGAAGACAAACTGCTAACTTAATGATGTGGGTTCCCCTCTCCTGCAGACAAGCTCTCATCTCCTCGTTGTCTCTGGGACGGCCAAGGGACCCAACCCCTCCTGGCAGTTAAGTAGCTGCTGGCACACGCCAAGCAGGACCCGCAGCTTCTTTGCCTCAGGCTTTTAGGTGTCACTAGGGCAAACCTGAGCTATTCTGAGCCCCGAGCTCAGCCTTGAGTCTCGGGTGGCAGATAAGTCTGACCTACCTCCTCCATTTACCTTCTCTCTGTCTGCCTGCCTCCCATTTTGCTTTTTTTAGTTTTTCAAGACAGGGTTTCTCTGTAGCTTTGGGTATCCTGGAACTCACTCTGTAGACCAGGCTGGCCTTGAACTCACAGAGATCCGCCTGCCTCTGCCTCCCTAGTGCTGGGATTAAAGGAGAGAGCCACCACCACCTGGCTGCTTGCCTCTCTTCAGTGCATACCCTGAGGGTGCTCCAGCATGGGTCACCTTCTTTGACAGGTCCCTGGCCGCTGCCCTCCCTGCCTTTGTCTTCAGGTATCCCTGGCTCTGCGGGATTGGGTTTCCTGGGGGCAGTCATCTGAGACAGGTGGGGGCTGTGTGTTTTTGCACACACGGCTCAGTCACATGCTTAGCTTGGCAGGAGCCAGGCTACCATCTCCCAAGCCCATCCTCTTCCCCCATCATTCCAAGGCCCTTTCATTCTTGGTGCAGAGAGAGGGACAGGGTGACAGCACCCAGGCCCTGGGGAGACTGGCTGAGAAGCGAGCAATAGCTTTGCTACTGAGAGTCCTCCAGTCCCTGAAGGGTCACATGAGACTCACAGAGAAGCCCGCTGTGCTTAGGGGAGGTTTCATGACCCTCAGAGAATGAGATAACTAATGTGACTTGGTGCCCTAATAACCATTTCTAGGTGTAACCCAGGCAACTTTGTTTTGCCTTTTTCAGAGCTTCATTTTCCCCATCTGTTTAATGGGCACACTACTGGTGCCTATCCCTGTTATAGCTGAAAGGACAGATCGAAGTCATGGTGGGCAGGCATCCAGGTCTGGAGCCTGGCATACTGTGGCTACTCAATGAGTGTCCTGTGTTTATCCTCCTCCTCCTCTTCCTCTTCTAGCTCCTTCTCATCAAAGCCCCCAGCGTAGACCTAGCCACAGCTTGGTGTGTAGTGAGTGGGGACACCATTAGGATGGTGGTTCCCACCCTGTCATGTTCAAGCACAGCTGCCTGGACAGAATGAGCTTCTGGATTCCTTCTTGCATGAAAACACCAGCAACATAAAATAGAAGGAGATGGCCTCTGCAGCAGGGACTGAGTGTTCAGAAGGTCACCTCCCTCTGCTCTGCTCAGCCTGCTGTGTCCCTGACACCCAGGGCAGAGCCCTGAAGGAAAAGAAGCCAGGGAATTGCTTCCAGTCTGGGCTTCCACCTGCCACATTGTTACTGTGTGACTGTGAATGAGTTTCCTAACCTCTCTGGGCCATACCACACCATCCTTTGTGGACCGAATAATGAGCATGGACTGAATGAGAAGAAGCCCAGACTACAGCTCTGTGCCCAGAGTAGTTAAGACTGTCAGGGACAATGGGAGCTCCCGGAGTCTCCAGCCTGGAGGGTGTAGGGGGGCGGGGCAGGCTTTTCTCTTTCTCTCTGTAGCTCACAGAGTCTGTGAAGGGTATTCCAGGGCATCATCCCTCTACAGGATTCTGTCTCCTCTGAAAGTCCCAGAGCACCCAAGCACCGCTCCAAACCTGGCATTACTTAGAAGTGGCCCCAGGAGCTGGCCTCCCACACTGAAACCCGCCCTATGAATTTTCCCAGGCCCTCCAAGGTGAAGGCACCCACACCCCAACACCAACTCACCAATGGCTGTGAGGAAGAGCCCAGCTTGGTCAATGGGGGCGCTGCCCTCCTCCTCATAGTAGCTGACTGTGACCTTGGTGGGGAGTCACACGTGGGAACAAGAGATAAGGGCAGAAGCTCACAGGTTACAGTGAAAAACAAAATAAAACAAGCAAAACCCAGAAATAACAACCTGCCTCCCAGTTGTCTCTAAATGCAGGGCCAGGTCCTTCAGCAAGCACCCCTGGGCTGCTGAGGTGCCTCTCACAGATAATCTAACAGGACAAGGGGTTCCTCTCCCCTACCTGACCTGTGCTCTGCTACCTCCCCCTCCCTGCTTCCTGAACCCACTATGGTGTGTGCCCAGCTCCAGCTAAGCCCCACCATCCTTTGGATGGTGCCTGGTGCCAACACAGCAACAGGTTAGAGCAATGTTCATGAAATAGCCCAGTGTGGAGACTGTCCGGTTTTGGCTACATCACCTGGGCCAAGCACTTTGCCCTGATTGCTCGGCACTCCACTTTACAGACAGGTCTGGGTTGCTATGGCTACAATCTCCAATCACAATACGACTCTGAGAAGCTATTATTTTTGTTATTGTTAGCCCCCTTTCAAAACTCAAAACAAAACAAAAAACCAGGACTCGCTATATGCCCCAGGCTAACTTCAATACAGTGCTGCTTCTGACTCTTAAGAGCTGAGATTACAAATGTGAACCCCACGTCCTGGCTTCTCTTTAATGTATGTGCATTTTGAAACTCTCTCACCATGTAGCTCGAGCTAGCCTGGCCTAAGTAGCTAAGGCTGGATTCAAGCTGGCAGAAATCTCTCTGGCTCAGCTTATGCTTCCTTCAGCTATCTGGGTCTTCCTTCCTCTCTTCCTGTACTAGGACCTGAACTCAGGGCTTCACACATGCTCGATACACAACCACTGGGCACCCGTTTCCATTAAAGGATTACTTTATGTGGATGGGGTTTTGCCTGTATGTGTTTCTGTGTGCACCACACGCAGGCCTGGTGCCTTTGGAGGCCAGAAGAGAGTGTCAGATCCCCCGAACTGGATGACAGAGGGTTGTGAGCCACCATATGGGTGCTGGGAATTGAACCAGGGTCCTCTGGGAGAGCAGACAGTGCTCTTAACTGCTGAGCCACCTCTCTGGTCTCTAGTTTTCACTTTTTGAGGCAGGGTCTCATATGTTCCATGCTGCCCAAAGCGGGTCTTGAATCTCCTGTTCTACCTCCTAAGTGCTGGGGTTACAGGTATGTGGCTCCACGCCCAGCATTTTCTTCCCCCTTTTTTTCACTCTGCTGATGTAGCTGCTAGGGACTAGGAAGGACTCTATGGCTCCCACTGTTTCTATGACTCAGGCTAGTATGCCCTGCCCTCCCTCTCAGGACTCCAGCATGGCCCTGGGCTCCCTCAGTCCTGGATATTGACTTCCTGGCCACGGTACCTTGTCGCTGCTGGCCTCTGTGCTGGCCTGGGCCATGCTGAGCCGCAATGTGGTGCTGGGCGAGAGGGCCCAGCGCTGCTTGCCGTTGGTGACCACCTCCTCGGCCTCCCCATCACGTACCACCTCCACCTTTACACCTTCTGAGTGCTTCAGGCTGAAGGTTTTGGCCCCTGCAGGGGCTGCACTGTAGGGAGAAAGGACAGAGGGTCAGGGGCAGTCTCGGCTGGATGGGACAGGGGCCTAAGCAAAAGAGTCTCAGAGAGGTAGGGCTCCCAGGCTGTGTGGTCCGGGGATCCCGGCAGCCTAGCTGTAATGCAGTGACCTGCTGGTGGCAGGAGACCGTGAAGGGCACAGAGTCCTGGGCCAATCTTGCACCTGCTAAGTTGGAGACTAGGAACCCCAAATCTCTCTGTCTCTGTCTCTTTCTCCACTCTTTCTCTATTCTCTCTCTCTCTCTCTCTCTCTCTCTCTCTCTCTCTCTCTCTCAGCTATTCTAGGCAAGTACTCTGCCACTCAACCTTCAGTCTTAGGACTGGACATTTTTTTCTTGTTCGATAGGATACTTCCACTCAGGCTGGTCCCAATGCCATCATCCGCCTACCTCAGCCTCCTCAGTGCTGGCTTTTTTAGTCATGTAGCACCGCACTTGACTTAGGCTCCGATTCATTCATTCATTTGTTCGTTCACTTATTCATTTACGTATCTATTTATTTATTGAGACAGGGTCTGTTTTTGCTATATAAGTGAAGATAATCTCAAACGTTTGATTCTACCACATCTACATCCACAAGCTGAATTATGAGCCTGCGTTATCATGCCTGGCTTATGCCATGCTGGGGACTGAATGCAGAGCCTTGGCCATGCTAGGCAAGTACTTTACCAACTGAGTCACACCCCCAGTTTAGACCTGGAATTCTTACTGGATTCTTGATGCCTCTGCAGATGGGTGATCAGCTTTGGGAGCATGGGGCTCTGCAGGGTGGATGGCAAGCCTATATGGAAGGATGGTTTTGCTCCAAAGGCAGAGCTGGACAGGAACTTCACACCTCCCTGCCTGCTGTCACTGGGAACTTAACAGGATGGAATCAGGCTCTGTAGGAGAGGGGATTCCGTCTAGAAGATCCCCAGGCCTGGAATTCCTGAAGGTCATCTCTTGGGACTCATGCATGGCTTCCTGATGAGGGGAAAATGGTTTGGAAATTGTGAGACTTCACCAAGACTTAGGGCAGGGAGGACACCGGCTTGCATTGGTTGCTGGGTATTTATGTTCCCCCAAATTCATATGCTGATGTTCTAACTCCAGGAAGGTGACATCTGGAGTCCTTTAGGAGATGGGGGTATCAGGGATTCTAACCAAATATGAACGGTGGCCTTTTAAGAAGTGAGAGAGAAGCTGGGTAGTGGTGGCACACACCTTTAATCCCAGCACTTGGGAGGCAGAGGCAGGTGGATTTCTGTGAGTTCGAGGCCAGCCTGGTCAACGAAATGAGTTCCAGGACGGCCAGAATTGTTACACAGCAAAATCCTGTCTTGGGGAAAAAAAAAACCTAAATAAATAAATAAATAGGTGAGAGAGAAGACAAAAGAATGAGTGTACAACAGTAGGTGACAGGGAAGCCAGTGGAGGAAGACGCCAGGGTTGGCGCTCTGGGCAAACTCAGGTTTGAAGGTTCCTAAGGACCACAGTGGATCAAGGAGCTCTGGAAGGACTCTTGTGGAATTTGAGATGATGACAACGGAGGCCTGAGTATGTCCCAAGGGCACAGCTACTGCCCTGGGGAACCTCAGAAACATTGGGGCGCTGTTTACATTTTCAGGGCATTTTCATTTTCTTCAGTTTTTTGCTTTTACATAGGTAGCTTTGCCTGGAATTCATTATGTAGATCAGGCTGACCTTGAACCTGCAACAACCTTCTACTTGCCTCTGCTGGGATCAGAAGTTTATGCTACTATGCCTGGATTTAAATCTTCTAATCTTCTTCTTCTTCTTCTTCTTCTTCTTCTTCTTCTTCTTCTTCTTCTTCTTCTTCTTCTTCTTCTTCTCCTTCTCCTTCTCCTTCTCCTCCTTCTCCTCCTCCTCCTCCTCCTCTTCCTCCTACTCCTCCTCCTCCTTCTCTCTCTCTCTCTTCTCTCTCTGTTTTGCCCCCTATGCCTATAGACTTAGGGGTCCCATCCCCTGAGAGGGCTGTCTGTCTGGGCCAGGTGAGACGGGTAGCTGGCAATGAAGCAGGGGCCCAGCTGAAGAAGAGGCTTAAGTTTGAGGCTCTCAAATTTAGCAGCAGCAGCAGCAGCAGCAGCAGCAGCAACAGTAGCAGCAGCAGCAATGACAGTTAGAGGTCTGGTCCAAGCAGAGACTGCTGGGTCCTCAGAATGTACATTCTAGAAATTCCCAAGGCCACAGTTTGAGAAGCACCGCTGTAACTAACCTTCATCAATGTGGTCTGGTAGTTATAGCTTGGGAAGGAATTACAGGGAGTCTGTAGAGGCTGCCAAGCGATTCATTCTTGGTCTTTTGGCTAAAATAAAGTGGAGGGTGCTAGAGCCCCGCCCTCCTTGAACCAAGACCACTCCATCCAGCTTTATACATCATCAAGCTTCTGCATGCATTTCTGAGATAAGGATGCTTCCCAAACCACATCAAAAGCATGGTCCCCCAGGATGTGGTTAGTCTCGGTGCTGGCGCCTGCCTCCATCCCTCTGAGCCAGCAAGAAACCAAAGAAAAAGTATCTAGTGGGTTAACACTGGGCCACATCAGAGCTCCCTGGCCCCAAGCCTCCCACAGCCCCACACCAGGCTTGCTTGAGGCTGAGCAAACAGCTATTCTTGGAGCGGGTCTGGCAGAGGCCACAAAGACGCCATTGTCTCATGTGGATCCTGTTGGCCGCCTCCTTCCCGGGGGAAGATCCTTTTAGAATCCCCTGCAGAAACCCAAGAGCCTAGGGTTACAGATGGCCTGGGGTCCCTAGAGGCTGTGGGACAGAACAGAGGGAGAGAAAGGAATGGGGTGGGGGTGGCTCTGACCTCCTGGCTTACTGGGAAGAATCTAAAGAGAGCATGTATGAGACAGGAGGCTGGTCCTAAGGACATTTCTGCACAGTGTCCCAGCACCCAGGATGCAACAGTAAATGAATGAAAGAATGCTTCCTGTCTGGCTTTGCAAGCTGGTATCACGGCATTTTTTATGTTTATTAATTTAGTGTGTGTATGCGCACGCACACAGGTGAAGACCAAAGGTTGATGCCGGATGTCTTCCTGTATTGATTTCCACCTTAGTTTTTGAGGCAGGGTGTTTCGCTGAGCCTAGATCTAATCATTTTGGCTAGACTGGCTGGCCAGTGAGCCCCTGGGATCCACTTGTCTCCATCGCTCAGTCCTGGGGTCACAGACCTATGCTGCTACACCCGGCTTTAGGTTGGTGCTGGGGATCTGAACCCATGCCCTCAAGTTTGCACACAAGCACTTTACCCACTGAGCCGCCTCCCAGCCCCTCACTGTGCACCACTTCTTCTAATACCCGTAAGGCTGGTCCCTGATTCCCCACCTGCCCGATGCCCACGTCTCGATAAATGGATTTGTGCCTGTGTTTATACTCCACAGTGAGCTGCATCTTTTTCCTCATTTCATTCCAGGCCTGGCACTAAGTAGAAAGATTTGCTGGAGATGGGGCTGGAGGAGAAGGGTTTGCTTCTACAGCCATTTGTTTGCTCAACACGTATCCCCTGAGCGGTTACTATGTATCAGGCAGAGTTCTGGGCGCCGGGGAAAGACTAGTTAAGAAAATAATGCATCTTTCAAGTCTTGGAGCTTATATTCTAGTGAAAGAGAAAGGTTTTCTATAGATTATGCAATTAACAGTGTTGGCTGTGACAGAGAGATGTGGGCTCCCTGGTTGGGGGTGTAGCTTGGCAGTAGTGTGCTTGCCTAATGTGCGCAAGGTCTTGGGTTCTGGAAAGATGGGCACACGGTATTTGTGGTTTCCCGATGATTCTCTGAGGAAGTGACATTTGAGCTAAGAGTATAAAGTTTATTCTCAGAAGAATCAGTTAAGTCTGGAACTCCAACGTCAGTGACAGGGTGGTGCACTACTGTCTCTAGAGAATTTCTTTCAAGCTCCAAGCTGCCCTGATGCTGTGGGACCAGGGAGACCTGATACAGAAAAAAGGGAAGGTGAGTGTGGCTGGATCTGTGTGTGTGTGTGTGTGTGTGTGTGTGTGTGTGTGTGTGTGTGTAGATAGGTAGGTAGGTGGGTGGGTGTATGCACACGCACATGGGGAGAGGATGGTCACGATTGTGGGACAGGTCCCAGACATGGTGAGGCTGGCCTTTCTCCTGAGGGAGGGACATCACCAAGGGCTTACCAGCAAGGAGGGACTTCAGAAGAAAAGTAATGGACTTGAGGGTGTGATGTGGCTGGTCTTTGCTGGTCCCTGGCTCTCAGCTTGTCCATCTGACTTGGACCTCATTAACGCCAACCGGGATTCATCCTTGGAGTGACCCCAGCTCCTGGCAGCCGGGGTGTGACATCCTGCCCTTAGGTCTTTGGAGGAGTTGGAAGGGGCAGTTGTGGCTACTAGACTGGTGAGCACCCTCAGGGATAGAGATGAGGGGAGGGAGGAAGATCTTAGGCCTCACACCTGATGCTCACTATGGTGGTGGCCAGAGTTGTGAGGGCTGGCGCTAGCCCAGGCAGGGTTGGTTGAGGCAAACCTTGGCATGCATATATAGCTGGCCTCCTTCTCTATGTGGCAGCCCCAGCAGCCTCCATCCCAGGGTGCTGTGCCTCTGGCAGCCAGAGGCCCCTCTACAGGGAAGAAACAATCTAATCTCTGCTACCTTCCTTCCTCAGAAGTCTTTGAGTCTCCTCCTGCCTACAGAACAACATCCAGCCCCCGAGCAAAGACTTCAAAGCCCCAGTTCTTGTTCTCTGACCCAAACCCTTAACTCCAGGCCACTGAAATGACTCCCTTCCTGCCTCCATGGGTCCCATTTTCCAGGTGGGTTTGCTCCCATGGGAGTTATCCTAAATTGCATGCTGAACCTTTGTCTGTCTTACAAGACCCAGCTCACTTGCCCCCTCTCCCAGGAAGTCTTCCCCCATCCCACCAGCCAGATCACCTTTCTCTCTCCCTTAGCCCGGGCCTTAAATACTAACTTTTCTTTAATATGTATGTCTCTCCTGTGAG